AAAATATTTTCATATTTATTATTTCATCTAATGACTGTAAAGAAGCCAGAGAAGAGTTTTCCAATCGCTTATTGACTTTTTGTCAAATGGAGCTTGATAGTCTTTTTCTGACTCTTTCCATATTTGATACTGGCGACCCCTTCTTCTCCTCCTGCAGCGTCCATGACAGACTGTGCTCTAGTTTTCCTTCTCCTTCTTCCAGATTGCTATTCAATCTCTTCTCACTTTGCCTGTATTTTTAAATGATGTTGCTTCCCTGGATTTGCCCTTGGCCCTCTGTTCCCTCTCTTCTATGTCTCTCTCTTACCATGGGGTGTTTGCACCATCCCCAAATCAATATTTTGAACTTGATTGCTTCTGAAACTTGATGCATGTGTATTCAACTGTATACAGATGATCTCTCCAATGAAGCACGACTTCTTCGAATACCACAGATGGGATATTGAATCATCTGCTTTTCTTACACGACTCACCTCTTTCCTTCCTGGATTTTAGCATGTCCGTGAACATGTTGTGAATGACCCCACAAGCCATTAACATAGGGCTTTTCACAGATTCCTCCCTCTGTCTCCATCCCCCAGGAAAATCGAACTCAGAATCCTGTGTGGTCTACCTCCTAACCATCTGTTGATACAGTCTCTTCTTACTCTTCACTGCTGCTACTTTAGTTGCAGTTACCATCAGTTCTGGTTGCATTACTATGCCCCCACTAACTTCGTTCCTTGCTCAGCTTCTTGGGATCTATTCACTATGCTAGAGTCAGGTTTTTGTTGTTGTCTTATTGTTTATTTATTTTGAGAGAGAGAGAGCACACTTGAGCAGGAGAGGGGCAGAAAGAGAGATGGCGGGGGGCGGGGGGAGAATCCCATGCAGGCTCCATGCTGTCAGCACAGAGGCCAACATGGGGCTCGGTCTCAGGAACTGTGAGATCATGACCTGAGATGAAACCAAGAGTCTGACGCTTAACTGACTGAACCACCCAGGCACCCCCGTTGTTGTTATAATGTATATCTGATCATGTCATCCCTCTGCTTAAAACCCTTCAGTCACTTTCTACTATTGAACTTTAAATAAACGCTTACTTGGCAGCCTCCATCCTCTTTCTCTTTTGCGTTGCTAACTCTTATTCATCCTTCTGGACTCAGCTTGCTTGTGATCTCCCACTTGTCTGTCGCAGACTTCACCTTCCAAGTCTTCATCTTCCAAGCCAGCTATTCCTTGAGTACAGCTATTCCACCAGAGCACTCATCACATAATTTTATAATTTCCTGTCAATATACCTATAGTCTCTACTAAATTACAATTTCTTCAAATGCATGAACAGAGTATGCGTTGTACTCCCAGTATCCAGCCAATACATGTAGGTAAATATTGGTTGCATAAAAAAATGAGGGACAATTATGATTAGTTCCATAGAAATTAGAAATAGAAATAGAAATTAGAACTTAGAAAAGGTAAAAACAGAACTTTTAACAGGAGATGCTGCTACCAAGTGGGAGACCTGAAATTAGAACCCAGTTATATTTTTTAAAACCCAGTGTTCATCCCAAAGAGTCATGATGTATTATCATATCACCACATTTAACCAAACTACGATTATCATTTTAAACAATAAAATACAAAAGAAAGTACCCATTTTTTCAACTTGCTAATGCTGTGCCCATAGCATGATTATTATTATTGCAGTTTCCATGGAAGCCAGTAATTTTGGTGGTATTCCTTTGGAACCTTCAAAACAATTTTATTTACACTGGATCATCCAAAAAGTATTATAGAAAGTGTAGAAAAACTCAACATGATCTGGAGTGGAACAAAAGGATACTGAACAAGAAGACATTCTTCTCATTCATCTTTTTGGGAGGCCAATAGTGAACAAAGGGGAGATGTCTAATATTTGCAACTCTTAAGAAAAAAGTGTGAAGGCCAAATGAGATCATTCCATGAGGGTACAACAAGACAGGGTGTGAGAATGTACAACCATAAAAGTTGATGGGAAAAGGTAGATGGAATGTTCCTTGCTGTGGATGAGTTGATGATAGAAGGATCTAGAATGTAATCTGTATAAATTTGGTGAAGCAGGAAGAAACTGCAGGGAAGTTAACAGGTGTAGCAGCCAACAAAGAATGGGAACAACAGATATTAGTAGCAGAGAGGCACATGAGGAGGTGATATTTCATGTTTTGTGGTACTGAACTATGTTACTTCTGCACACAGCACGTACATATCCAGATCCATCTGGAGCTGAGTGAGTACATGTGCATGTGTGCGTGTGTGCACACACACACGTTTTTAAGGCTCCTGTGATTTGTACACATATGTCAGGGAGATGGGGAGAGGTGGTCAATTTCAGATCATCTGGAGGTCTCTTGAAAGACTTACTAGTCCAAGGATGGTTGTAGCAATAAAAGGACTTTTTCTTTTTATGGGACATATTTATGCTAAAAAATATATTCATCCTTTATCTGAAATTCAAAGTAAAGTGATTGTCCTGTGCTAAATCTGGTCAATTATACTGGGTGACCTCAACGGATCATGCTAATGCCTTGGCTTTAGCAAGCAACACCATCAGGTTGAATGCCCAGGAGCTGTTGCAAGAAGGGTCTATGTTAAAGCGATGCTGACCAATTTCTGGCTAAGGAGTGCAAAAGAAAAACTACTACTTACGAGTGCTGCCATCATTAGTAGAGACTGGGGCGGTGGCTGAGTTCCTGGCCCATAACGATGAAAAGTTACATTTTGATTGCAATGTGAAGACCAGCTACCAAAGCACTATTTATGGGAAATGTTATAACTTAACTAACATTAACTAAGTTAATGGAGGAATGAGAGCAGTGGACTTCGCTTCGTGTTTTAGTTAGGGTTAAGAATCTTTTATAGCAAGAGCTGCAACAATAATTCAGTGGCTTATGATATGCAGAAAGTTATTTCTGTCTCACTCAATGTCCTGGGGAGTGTACTGAAGGCTGGTAGAGAGGAGAGAGGGGGAGGTGGTTCTCTTATGCAGTCATTTAAGGACTGAGACTGACAATGCCTCTACCATCATTAGTGGGTGGCTTCTAGGGTCACTCTCTTCTTCATTCCAGCCAGCAGGAACAGAAAAGCAAGAGTGTAGAAAGCAGATATGCATAATTGTATGTGCAAAGTATAAAATTTGCATACAGTACTTCCACTTGCAAGACCACACTGGTCACAAAGGGGGTGGGTATTGTCATGCAGCTGCAGTTGTTACTCTGGATTAAAGGGAATATGAATTTTGGTGAACAGCCATCCTTGGTTGTTGTATTTTGTATGATATACTGGAGTTGCATTATGTGGCTGTTAGACTGAGAGAAGGAAAAGGAAAACAAGGTACTATTTTAAATAGTAAAAGACAGTTTTCCTCATCATTCAGTTTATTTCTTTTTAATGTTTACTTATTTATTTTGAGACAGTAGGGGAGGGACAGAGAGAGAATCCCAAGCAAGCCCCCAACGCAGGGCTCGAGCTCACAAACTGTGAGATCATGACCTGAGCTGAAATCCAGAGTTCGGATGCTTAACCGGCTGAGCGACCCAGGTGCCCTACTCCCATCATCGTTCAGTTTAAGAGAAGATAAGGTGTGAGATAGGTCTTATTTCCTTTGCTTCTGCCATACAGTGGGGATTTTATTGATTTGAATGTGATTTTAGTATTTTGAAGAAGTTACAACATGACCATTGGATGCTGGTCAGCTATTTCATCTGCTTCTTAAGATGCCACAATCTCTTTAAATGTCAAAGGAAAAGGTGACAGAATGGACTTAATGAGAGATGATGTGTTAGAATGACATACTCTATGGGTGGCTAACGTTCTTTGGGTATAACTTAGATTCCATATGAATTACTCTTTACTGACTTCACAACCTACTATCAACAGAATATGCAGATCTTCTACCTGCAAAATAAATAAATATGCTTTTTCTCCACAGTCATTTATTAAAAGCTTTGCTGTTACACGGTTTGAATGTATTTCGAGTCTTATGTATTACAAGACACCAATATACTTCTTCCCAAGTGGTGAGACTTATAGATAAGCAAATGGAAGTAATTTTTACATGGTGCCTCATTACAGGTACCATGTAAAGGGAAAGAGGAACAATAGTGAACAGCCATTGGAGGGTGATTTTGATCAGATCAGCCTCTGTCTTGAACATCGTTATTAAAATAATACAAGTGAATCCTTGTCACTAAGAGATGTATTTTTGTAACAGGTTGAAAATCTAACCTGACCACACATATGAAAAGCCTGATAACAATTGAAATATGCAAAATGCATGGTCAGTAGCATTGAGAAGCAGTTATGTTTGAATCTCTCAAATAGCAAAGGAGACATTACTGCTCTTACTTAAATATTTTCAGAATAGCATCAGTACTGATGGACATTCAGATGCTAAATAAGCACAGGACATTAGCTGGAGTATAGAACTCATCAAAACCACCCCAAGGCAAGTAACGTAGTAGTGCCGGCCAAATAACCACATTTGGAGTAGTCAGCTGTTGGAGTGAAACAGAAAACAACTTCTTGGAATAAAACCTTAAACTTCCAGTTTGTGGCAATGTTCAGTCCTGAATTCAAAACTGAATTTTGTAGCACCTTCTGATTCTAACCCTGACAAAGACAATGTGGTTTGATCCATTTTGCTAGAAAAACAGCGGCAAAACTATCTTCATGTAATAAAAGGTTACTTTGAGGACAAGACCTTTCCCTAATACATGAGTAGATGATTTTTAACAAATACATGTGCCCTTGTAAAATTTTATTCATCTTAACATCAAAAACACTGCCCTCTAAATAGAAAATAAGTAGAATTAAGTAATTGCAATACGTAGAAAATGTAATAATGAGAAAAACACAGAGTTGGTAGGTTTTGAGAGTTCTGTTTTACTCTCTGTAGAATCCCCCTGAGAACACTATATTTTATTTATGTAAACAGATACAGAAACACTAAACACTATATTTTATTTATATAAAGAGACACAGAAGCAGCTTCTTCACTCCCCTCCGGAAATATCTTGCAATAAGTTAAAGGATAAACCTGTAAAAGCTATTTAAAAAAACAAACAACAACAACAAACTTTTAATGTGAAACATGAATAATAAAAATAATGAGAAACTTTGTTTCTTTTAAGGCTGTAGCTCCAATTGGTGGCCCTTTAATTTTGTACATTTCCAAAGGATAGATTTAACCTCCTAAAGGTCATGTTCCACTTTGACTGTGACAGTAGGTGCATCTGGGTATTAACTAGCTTCAGACTCCCTTCTGCCCACTCTAGGTCTGCTCTCTTGTTGAGTTCTACATGTGGTGTTTTGGATTCCATTTCTGCTTGCCTTGTGATTTCCCATCTTGGTTTTGGTGACCCCCCCACCCCATGCCTGGTGATATTGACTTGATTTGTCATTGGGCCACTTCTACTCAGACAACCCTGAGGGAGAATTAATAAAACATCGATACCATCTTACTTCCCAACTTTCCTTTTGATTTCAGTGACCTGGATTATACTACAACTAGAGCAAAGAACCACTCTGTGCCCCAACTTTGTCATTATCGCTTGATCCTACTCATATCTTGCTGAAATCAGATAAGTGTGGTTTGACACTATTGATCTTTTTATGATTTTACTGTTCACAAGACTAAAAGTAGACTAAATTATATAAACCGCAAGTAGAAATGCAATTATGGCATAACACAAATATATGAGCAATTTCTACTGATCACACTCATAAAAATAGCTATGAAATCATAATGTGCTAAAGTGAGAATCTATTTTTCTCTTAAGCATGGCTCCATTATTTCAAATACTGAATATTTTATTCCATTTAGGGTTTTTTTTTAGTTTTTTTAATATAATGTTTCAGATTTGTGACTAATCAACTTGTGCTTTAAACGTCAAATATATTAATCATATTCTAAGTGCGTCTGAGAATACTTTGATAGAGTTTAAACGTATCCATTTCTGTCGTGCTGGAAAAGCTGGTATCTGCCAGGCCACTGGAGCACATGTAGAGACCAGAAATAGATCTATGCATGTATGATCACGTGATTTATGACACAAGCGTCACTAGAATGCTTTGGGGGACATGGTAATGTTTTCTAAAATGGTGCTAGATCAATTAGATACCCACCTGGGAAAACATAAATCTTGACTCCTGCATCATGCCCTACACAGAATGACTTGCGGCAGATGGACTGTAGAGAAAACGTAAAAGTCAAAAAATAAAACTCCCAGAAGACACCATTGTAGAATATTTTAGTGATCTTGGCATAGGCTTCAATTACGTAAACAGAACATAACTCATAATCCGAATTTATAAGAACAATTCGTACAAATCTGTAAAAGAGAAAGGAGGAGAACATATTTCATTAGACGAAAGTCCTGAACTGACACTTCATGAAAGAGGATATCCAAGTATGCAGTTAGTACATGCTTGGGATCATTAGGAAAATGAAAATAATTTCACCACCACTAGAATGAGTAGGAAAAATTAAAATAAATTAGAAGACAAATTTCCAAGGGTTGTAGGAAGATATGGAACAATGTGAAATTTCATACACTGTATGTAGGAATGCAAATCAGTGCAGTCTTTATTAGACTCTTCACCAGCATCTGCTAAGGTAACTTATGTAATTACTTTATGATCCAGCAGTTCTGCTCATAGAGTCAACAGTTATACCTATACAAGGAAAGGTATAATGTGTGTTTGTGTGTGTGTGTGTGTGTGTGCGCGCGCGCACACGCGCGTGTGTGTATTTCTAAGAGCATTAACTATAATAAGCCAAATTGAAAACAACCCAGATTTTCATCAACAATAAAATTAAGAAGTGAATTTCTATATAGTCATACAATGAAATATTATATAGCAATAAAAAACAGTGAATATGATACAAAATTGATGAAAATCACATGCACAATGTCTGGTGAAAGAATCCATACACAAGAGTACATACTATATGATCCATTTATATAAAGATCCTAGTTAAGCAAAATTAATCTATGGTCATCAGAACAACAGTGACCTTTTGGGAGTTGATCACTGGGCAAGATCATAAAAGAGGCTTCTGGTGTTCTGGTCCTAGTTATATCTCTATCCATTGGTGATGACCAAGATGGTCAACTTTACAAAAATTCATCACCTTGTCCACTTAAGACCAGTGCATTTTGGGGGCACCTGGGTGGCTCATTCAGTGGAGTGTCTGACTTCAGCTCAGGTCATGATCTCATGTTTCGTGAGTCCAGGCCCCACATCAGGCTCACTGTTGTCAGCCTGTCAGCGCAGGGCCCACTTTGGATCCTCTGTCCCCTTCTCTCTGCCTCCCCCCACACTTGTGCTCTCCCAAAAATAATAAATAATTTTTTGAAAGACCAGTGCATTTTGTACTATATATGCAATTTTCTAATTAAAACCTTTTTAAATATGCTGAATAATTTTATGTATGGCAACCTACAGTCAAATACTACATATTATCTTCTTATGACTTTAAGAATTACCTAAATTTCAAAAAGTAATTCATTAATCTCAACAGAAGAATTCTGTTCCTAGGCTTCAAGAACGGGAATAATAATAATAAAAAAGGTTTTGTGGTTTTATACAGACAGACTCTAGTTATAAATCCCAGATCTCCCACTTTCTAGTTGGGTAACCATGGGCAAGTTAAATCTGAGTCTGTAACCTATCACTAAATGGACATATTACCTAACTCATAGTAACCATGTGAGGATCAAAATAGGTAATACATGCAAAACACTTAAAACAATGCCTACCAGGTGGGAAGACCTTTAAAAAATGTCTTTTATCTGTTATCCTTCTCATTGGTTTTATAATTTTATTTTCATATTAGCAACATATATGTATCAGATCTATAAAGTAACAATAAAAAGATTAGTATTAATTTCTTAGGCAACTTTAAATGTCATTCATTGTCCCTATTTCTTAGTTTTGAAGTTTATGGAATGACAGTAGTACCACTACTACTAGTACTATTATTACTGATAGTGATAACAATGGCAGCTGATACCTGCTCAGGGGTTACAACCCGGGAGGTGCGACTCCAGATTCTCACTGTTACCCAGTCTGCTCTATAGCCTTTAGGAATACGTATCAGGCAGGTTGGGCTGTGGTAACAAGTAACCTCAAAATCTCAGTGGGATATAACACAAGGTTTATGTCTCCCTCATGCTACGTGTTCACTGTGGGTCAGCTGCGAGCTCTGCCAACTGTCGTCACTCAGAAACCCAGGCTGACAGAGATTCTCTCTTCCCACATATTTCCCTCATCGTCAAAGCAGGGAAAAGAAAATGTGAGGAATTACACACCAGCTCTCAAAATTTCGCCCCAGAGTGTTTCAGGCTACTCCTGCTTATTATTGTAGCCGAAGCAAATCACAGAGACATACAGTCTCTTCCGGTGGCAGGGAAAGATAATCATACCAACAGGTAGAGAACCAGAAATATTTGGTAAACAACAACAAAGACTGCCATAAATACTAAGGGTATTATTTTCCTCAAATATGAAAATGGTCATGAAAGTCCTAATTAAAATGTAAAGTAATGTATAACTATAAAACCTTATTTAATCTAGAAATTTTCTCTCTAATGAGGATACATGTGTTGGATTTCACTTTGGGCCAAACATTAATGATATCAACACATGTATTATCTATCTCAATTTTCATCAATTCTAAGTTTTATTACTTAGATAATCAATATCTATTTCATATGAAATTAAAAGACTCAAGTGTTTGGGGTTTTTAAAAATTTCAGGACTGGGTATTTGTAGATATGATAATCTTCCTAGTTTCTATTGTACTTTAAGTTTGGAAATTTTACTACCTGGTAACTATAACTAAGGACAGAATAAGTATGCCAAAAGGATTTCTATAATTAAGTGGCATATGTGTGAGTCATGGTCTTTCAGTAGATTTATTTTTAATCATTAAATTAGTTTTATTAAAAATGATCCAGTAATTTCAAAGTTCAGTATCTAATTTAGAGTTACTTATCACTGAAACAGAGTGAAGAATTTATGGGGAGCCAAAATTGGCGAGCTTTACACAGACCAATTGTGCGTGTTAGGTGGAAGTCTTTTGATATGGTAAACTTTATACAATAAAATGAAAGCAATGTACAAAGTCAATATAATAAAATCATTAGTTTTGGAGACAGTAAGTGGCGGGTTTAATAGGCATACATTGGGAGTGTGTGCTGTCTCTTTGCACCTGCCGGCGTAGCCACAGATGAGGCTGACTTATGTACGGAAAGGTAGAAGGACTGTAGGTAACAAAATGAGAGTGTGTGGCTGCCAGGCAAAGGCGTGCTTCTTTTGCAGGCCTTGTGCATCTGTACATGCCCAGGGTCCAGCGCAGGGCGAAGAGCACAACACGTCATCAATAGCGTTATTTTTTATAGTGCTTGAGGGTGTGGCACAGCTAAAGGGACAACTTTTCTCTCTCTCTCTCTCTCTCTCTTACAAATGAACTTTTTTAAATGTTTGTTTATTTTTGAAACAGAGAAAGAGATAGAGACAGACAGACAGACAGACAGAACAAGTAGAGGGGCAGAGAGAGAGGGAGACACAGAATCTGAGGCAGGTTCCAGGCTCTGAGCTGTCAGCACAGAGCCTGATGGGGGACTTGAACTCCCAAAACCTTGAGATCATGACCTGAGTAGAAGTTGGATGCATAACTGACTCAGCCACCCAGGTGCCCCTAGGCCTTTCAATAAAGAATAGGAGCAGTCAGTTGTGAGCAGTCTGTGTGGAGATTTGAGTTGACCAAAGTTTACTTCAACTAATGGTAATTTAAGAATTTTTTTTTAAAGATTTGCCAACAACTTACTAAGTCTGCATTACTAGAAATAGAACCAATTCTAAATGTATTATTATCTGTAGTGTTATACTCCCACCTAATTGGCAAAAGTTTTAAGGGCTGGTAACATCAAGGGCTGGTAAGATAGTGGAGTAATGAGGATTCTGGGAAAACACTGGTGGCAGTAAACGTATTTGCCACTGTCCACCACACCAGCCGCGCTAGGATCTGGGGATGAACTTCTGTCCTTCTTGGTAGAGAGGAGAGAAGTGAGACCTTTGAGAATTTATGCCCAGCTTTTAGGCAAATAGGCTGAGGGCCGAGTTTTTCTCTTGCTTCTCAATTGCCTTCAGCTCAAACTCATTCTTATGCCCAAGTGGCATATTCTGGTATATTTTTCTACCCTTTCAGTAGCTTCCTTCTAAGAGGACAGTATTTGAACACATAAATGGATTTCTTTTCTTTTCTTTATTGTGTTAAAGACTTGAAATTCCTTTTCAAAATAAAAATTGACATGCTGCCTCATTAAGTAAAAATGAATAAAAGCTCAGCTTGAAAAGAGGAAGGGAGGAAAGGAGAGTGTGAAAGCCCAAATCCTGTCTTCCAGGAGATTTTGTTGTGAAAATCACCAAGCTAGAGAAAAGCATCAGGACTGAGAAGATCAGTAAGAGACCATTGAACAAAATGGAGATATTCAGCCTGAGGCACAGAGAGAACTTGATGACTGATCTCTAATATTTATAGAAGGGGGTTTGGGATGCGAGAGAACAATGTATTCTGTGTTGCTACAAAGGACAAAGCTAGAACCAAGGAGAGGGAGTATAAAGAGAAAGGCAGCTATTAGAGGAAAGTGACTTTTAGGTCCCTTCCCTTCTGTATGGGTCCAAGTGATGTTTATGTTAAGGGTCAAAACCACTATAGGGGCCGCCATGATGATTCTGGCCACACGGGTACAAAACAGAAGCTAATATGAGCATCAAACACCCCTTGATGTGCCTTCTTTAGGCAATTGTTCTCAAATGTTATTTCTCACTGAGTCAGCTGCTTTTTCTTTTCCATAGATCTCTCATGTAAAGTAAGCAAGAAGATTCCACATGTGGGTGAAACCATATAATATTTGTCTTTTTCTGATTGACTTATTCTGCTTAGCATAATACACTCTAGTTCCATCCACGTTATTGCAAATGGCAAGATTTCATTCTTTTTTATTGCTGACTAATACTCCATTGTACATATAAATCACATCTTCTTTATCTATTCATCAGTCAGTATACATTTGGGCTCTTTCCGTAATTTGGCTATTGTTGATAGTACTGCTGTACACATTAAGGAAAAATAAGATAAAAACAGAGAGAGAAGCAAACCATAAGAGACTCTTATATACAGAAAACAAACTGAGGGCTGATGGAGGGAGGTGGGTGTGTGTGTGGGCTAAATGGGTGGTGGGCATTAAGGAGGGCACGGGTTGGACACGGAGCGTCATATGTAAGTGATGGATCACTGGGTTCTACTATGGAAACCAGTACTACACTGTATGTTAACTAACTTGAATTTAATTAAATACATTTTAAAAAATAAAGTAGGCCAGAGGAATAAATACTGACAAATGTGCAAGGCTCGAGTGGCATGAAAATCTCCTCCACTAACATGGGCACTCAATTACATTCTTAGGACTATTCGTCCCTCAAACCTCTTCATTAATTAGCTCTCAGCTCTTCATCTTCCCACACCTTCTAGCCCAGTCTGCTGTGACATCATACTGTGTTCAGAGTGCCTCACAAGCAATGAAAAAAGACAGGGCACCTTTAGAATAGGAGTTGGCAGCTGGTTTAGTTAAATATCCTTCCACCCACGCTGCACTACATTGATTAATTTTTAAAGAAATGGCTAAATGAAGATATTAATTATTTGTATGTGGTGCATATGCTTGCATGCACAGCATTATATTTTAATTTACTTTTTAACAAGTAAGCCAATATGATTTTTAAATTATTTCCCATCTGGCATGCATACTAATAAAGAAAAGAAATCTACTAATTTGTACCATATCAAGTTCATCTCCCCCCTTCTTTTTTTTTTTCTACTTTCTAATTACTTGTTCTCGAAGAAATCAAACTAGAAAATATAGATTTAACCTTCCCACTTTTTAGTCCCCATATGCAGCCCTGTAGTGGAAAAGCGAAATGAAACGCTTATTTTTGGAGGACTTAACAGTATGAAAACAGAATATGTTCACAGTTATCTCTCCGTCATTTGTCTTCATTGTAATCATGCAATGTAAATCTGAAATACACCAAGGCCAGTTGATCATCCTGATAAGCATTAAGTGCCAGCTGAATCATCAGCGTCTTCATTTATATTTCACCTCATTTTGGTGGCGTATATTACAACCAATTTTGGGGAAAGTCTACAAACCACATACAATATGTATGATCATTCTCTGTTGTCCTGCTTATTTACTCATGATACCGGTTCCTGGCACCGTGTGTTACAAGGGATTATTTATGCACAAACACACAGGACTTTATGGTTTCGAGGCGGCAAATTATGAATTAATTTGTCATGGGTTTTAGAATATTTTTCTTGGTTCAAACTGTGTGTGTGTGTGTGTGTGTGTGTATTTCTAGACAATTGTGCATGTTGATAATGAATGGAACTAATGAGAAAATTACATGTGAAAGTTGGATGTTACCGAGTATGTTTTCATGTATTTTTTGACATAAAGTCAAAAAACATTACACTTAACGCTTTTGAGATGTCTCAGAATAGACACCCTACTGTTGCCTTTCAGGTAGGTTGTGGACTCTCTGGAGGAGACCTCATTCTTACTGTAGCATTTGAATGAGTCACTGATTTAATTGCCAAAGATACAAACCCTTTAAGGGAAGTGAGACAAGCTGCAGTCAGTGTTTGCCAAGCTCCACTTGGCCTCCGTGATTCTCCTGTGAGGGACACCAGATCTGAAAGGAACGCTCTTGTCTTCCTCACCAGAATCTTGTTCAGTCTATTCTTCACTCACTCGTAGAGAACTTGTCTGGCCATCTCTGCCCTTCCATTTAAGGGGATATTTACAAGCATTGGATTCTCCTGGTGCTCGAACCCTAATACCATATTCTTATCAGTAGAGAGAAAACAGTATTCTCCATTGTCTCTAGACAGAGCAACAGCAGTTAATTTCTTATATTCAGTTCTGTGATTCAGTATTTAACATTCTTTTACCTGGGCAGTGCTGATACAGAGTTTGATCTAAGGGCATTTCCACTGATCAGAAATGCATTTTCCCGGGGCTCCTGGTGGCTCAGTCGGTGAAGCATCTGATTTCTGCTCCAGTTATGATCTCACAGTTCATGAGTTCGAGCCCCACATCGAACTCTGTACTGACAGCTCAGAGCCTGGAGCCTGCTTCAGACTCTGTGTCTCCCTCTCTCTCTGCCCCTACCCAGCTTGCACTATATCTTTCTCAAAAAATTAAAATTTAAAAAAATGCATTTCCCTGCACCGACCCACTGTTATTCCCTCTAAAATATATTTGGAAGTGAGGTAAGATTTTAAAATAATGGAAAGACAATGGGATCAAGTGTCAATAGGTATCCCGTTTCTCTGTCACTTAACTATCCTCATGGCTTTAAACAAGTTTCTTAAATCTCCTGAGTCTTTGATAAAATAGTGCACCTGAAAGAGTTGGCTTTGTCACACAAACTAACGAATGCCTGGAAATGTTTTGTAAATTACAATACACCAGAATTAGGCCCATTTTTATGCATGTGACAAAAGTAGATTTCTTAGAAACCGCTATCCAAAAATAATACTAATCCTTGAATAAACCTACAGCCTTTGCACAACAATAGGGCCATGGTCCTAGATATCTTAGAATATAATATATATTTACATTTTTTTCTTTCTGAAAATAAACCTAAAAAATTCATGTATTTCAAAAATAGATTTGTATCCATAGATTTTTAAAAATCCTTCTTATATTCTTTTACTATTATTACTATTTATGCATAAAAGTCTTATAATTACTTCTTTTTAAAACCTAAAATTAGCATATCTTCTTTCCACCCAATTAACTCAAATGAGTTACAAATTATTTTTTAAAAAGCTTGCTAAACTGATACTCTTTAATGATTCATCCATAAAAATATCTTTTCTGTTCAGAAGTCTGCAACTCTTTTATTTTTTTGTCAAACAGCTTACTACTTAGGTTTAAAAATGTTTGCTGTGTCATTCAACCAAAGGCCAATCATTTCATTCATTCCACCATTCACGGAGTGCCCCAGGAATGTGGATGGTGGCATCCTGGATGGTGGCAGTGAGTTTTCTGTGAAATTCGTGGTAGAACTGGTGGTCAGTTGGTAAATATGCAAGGAATTTGTCCCTCCATTCGTATAATGAACTTGCAGACTTATCTCAGCCTGAGTTATGGAAACCGTCGATCACTTACCGGCTTGGTAAGCAACTCTGGATTTCTTACTCATGAGATGAAAACCCAAATGCCCACCCTGAGCTTTCTTTTAGAAACCATGAGGTTGAAATCTCTGCTTTATTTCAAGAGCCGGTGGCCTGACCTGTTACATTGATTTGCTAATAAAGAAATACATGAGCCCAGAAAGTTAAGAGAAAGAATGAGAAGTTCACAGGCTACCATGACCTGACGGTATTCCACTGTGCCCCTGCTCCTTCCTGATGGCCGTGCCTCAATGATGCATTGCTACTCTGCCATGACAACACTTTAACCTTGCAGTAGAAATCACCTTCGCATTGTTCTCATCTGTTTTGAATGATTTAGCCACTGTTCCTTCCTTTCATATTCTCAAGATTAGCAATAGAAGTTTTTCAATATTTTTATTTTTTGGCAAGCATGTGACTCTTAATAATGTCATTTTAAAAAGTTAGATTATTCATGAAAGAAAAGAAAAATTATCGTTTCTTTGTAAGTAACCTAGAACTTGCTTTCAGACCCGAGATGTGACTGGCCTCTGTTAAGGCACCAAAAGCCTTGTGGTGAATTGGAAATTAGAACATTTGGACTGGGGTCTTGTTCTTTCACTGACCAGCTAAAGGAGTTTAATCCCATACTTCAGTTACACTGTTTGTGTGACTCTGGACAAGTCACTTGAGTTCCTTTGGGCCTCAGTTTCCTCATCTGTAAAAGAGGATAATGAAGGTGCCTACCTCTTAGTATTGCATGGAATCCATGAGATTATGATTTTAAAGGACCCCACACAGTACTGGGCTCATGCTAAGGTGTTATCTATAATAATATAATAGTAATCTGTCTTGTCATAACTCCTATATTATCTCTCCTCACCAGGCTATAATGAGAACCTAATGTAGAATAAATTTGTATTTGTTTTTGTTTTGCCATACTGCAAATTACCACAGCACTTGGCAGCTTAAAAGAATAGCTATTGATTATCTCAGTTTCTACAGGTGGGAAGTCTAGGTCTGGCCTAGCTGAATTCTCTGCTCAACCTCACAAGGCTGAAAGCAAGATGCCAGCTAAGCTGTGTTCTTTCTGGAGCTTATGATCCTCTTGCAAACTCATGTGGCTGTCAGAAGAATTTGCTTCCTTATTTTTATAGGACTGAAGTCCCCATTTCTTGTTAGATGTCAGCAAGGGGCCCCACTCAGCAATTAGAGATTGGCCGCCATTCCCTGCCACATGGTCCTTTCCACAATGTGGCCATTGCTTTCTTCCAGCCCCTTCCCACCAGCTGAAGAAAATAAGCTTGTGCAGGGCTTACCTGATCAGGTCAGGCCACCGAGGTTCATCTCTCTGTAGCCACACCCTGCAACAGTATCATGGCATGAGACCTTATCTGGCACATAGGCTCTCCACCCTCATGTAAGGGGAGGAGACCATATGAGAGGGAGGGTCATCTTTGAACTCTGCCTACCACAAATGTGACCATAAAATGAAAAGTTAAAATGACATACAAGGTGTACATCATTGTATGTTTTATCATTGTCATCATCATCATAATCATGATATCAAATTTTTATCCTCATGTAACACTATTCTACTTATTTTCAAGGGTTTAAATTAGCTGTAAAGAGTATTCCAATTCACCCAATAACCGTGTAGCTCAGACCTTTGCATTTGCTTCATACCCCTCTCAATTCCTGTTCTCTTTGTCTGGCATATTTACTTCCTGCACTCCCTCCTCTGATCTCTGAATCAGTGCCTCATGGCACTTCCCAAGAACAAAGTTCCATGGATAAATATGTTTACATTGGATTCACCAGTCCATAAAATGCTCAACCAAGGGAGCTTGGGTGGCTCTATCGATTGAGCGTCCAACTTCGGCTCAGGTCATGATCTCACGATTCATGGGTTCAAGCCCCACGTCGGGCTCTGTGCTGACAGCTAGCTCAGAGCCTGGAGCCTATCTTCAGATTCTGTGGCTCCCTCTCTCTCTGACCCTCCCCTGCTCACACACTGTCTCTCTCTCTCAGAAATAAATAAAAAACATTAAAAAAGAATTTTAAATTATGAACCTTTATCACCCTTACATGTATGTAGCAATCCTGAAATTTCCAGTGGCCTGGTTGTATCCAACTCAAAAACAAGTTAAGGAAAAGGTAATGTATTCTAGTGCGTTAATGGTATAAAACCCAGAGACTAATACAACAGACACAATGATGTTTATTCATAGATAGCAGGAGTGAGCCTAAGATGATCCTTGTGGCTATGGCTATCATTTGACCATTGCTCCTGCGGGCCTCATAGATTGTAAAAAGCTCAATAAATAATAAAATATAATATACCTTTAAAATAAATATAAATATTATATAGATATAAAATAAAAATGTAATAAAAGAATGATGTGGGGAAAGGTTGACAATGATTACATCATCCATTAAAATGGAATGGGAAAATTTAACCCAGAAATTCATTCAAAGGAGCTTCCAGTGTTTTGTTCATCTAAGTGCCTTTAGGGCAGAGATGAATTCTATGTTCACAGAGAGATTAGTAAAACTTTGTTCACAAAGTAAAATAGAATTATATTTTAAAAAAGAATACGGACTAGAAATTATATCTGTGTTCAAAATCATCTTTGCCATCATTGACATTATGGACCACAGATGTGTTACTTTTCCTCACTAAGACTTAGTTTTTGCCTCTTTACCATCCACTTAAGAACATGTTCTGAGAGGCATCTGGGTGGCTCAGTCAGTTAAGCGTCTGACTTCAGCTCAGGTCATGATCTCACAGTTCGAGTGTTTGAGCCCCGCATCGGACTCTGTGCTAATAGCTCAGAGCCTGCAGCCTGCTTTGGATTCTGTGTCTCCCTCTATCTCTCTGCCCCTCTCCTGCTCATGTTCTGTCTCTCTGAAAAATAAACATAAAAAAATTTTATTTTTAAAAAAGCACATGTTCTGAGGAGTGAGTGAAATAACCTATGCTAAGTTCTCAGAACAATGTCTGGTACCTAGTGAGCATTTAGTAATGATGACTATTGTTGTTATTGCTATTTTTATTCATGTTAATTATGTTAACATGTGGTCTGATGTCTGGAATGTATTAAGTGCTCAGAAAATATTATTTTCTTCACCCTGTAATACCTGTTTGTTGAATTCAACTGGATGTGTCAAAGGAGTATTTAAGATATTATCAGTCAGAAATACATGAAGAGGTTATCGCTTGTCTTATTTTATTTAATTTTATACAATTTTCTTCCTCTCCCTCTTCCTGCCTGCGTGCTTGTCTTCTTTTATCCTTCCTTCTTTCCTTGTGTTTCCTTCTTCTTCTCTCTGTTTCTTCCTTCTCTTTCTCTTATCTTTTTTTCTCAAGCAGATATTATTTTAAATTTCCGAACAACCTATGTCAGCAAGTCTGGCCAAGTTATCTTTGAAGCAAGATCAATTTGCATCCACTATGTTACGACCTGGTTCATCATTGATTTAATTGCTGCCCTGCCTTTTGATCTCCTGTATGCTTTCAACGTCACAGTGGTGAGTAAGGAGCTCCCTTCCACATGACTTTGAAGGTTATTTTTAACCTTGTGTTTATTTTCCACGCATTCAGGTTTTAAGTGTCTGTGGCAGTTTGTGTGTCCAGGACTTTGTGGCCTCCTGAATAGAGACGCCAGTGTGACCAATGGTATGCAGGCCAGATTCTCTTCTTGAGGAAGTTACTTCCTTTTGGAATTTACATTGTCTGTTTTAGTTATTTAAATACTTAGAACCAGGATATATCAAAAGCATGAGTTTATCATCAATACTGACTCACAGAGGAAATCCTTTGGTAAGGAAACCAAAAGTAATAAGCATTACTTTGTA